TCTACATGAATATGCAATGTATAAGAAATAAAATATTAGAGTTAGAGGCATTTTTGAAAGATTCTCAACCTATAGAAATATTATGTTGTAGTGAACATTGGTTAAATGACCTTGAATGTAATGATATGCAAATAGAAAACTACTCGATTGTGTCTAAATTTTGTAGAGTTCTTAAAACACATGGCGGTGTGAGCATTTACGTTAGGAATTCTTGTAGGGATATTTTTATACCAATAGATTTAAGCAAGTACAGTAGAGAAATCCATTGTGAATTTGCAGGAGTAAAAATCTTAAATGTGGTTATTGTATGTTTATATCGATCACCTGATGGTGATCTGTATATTTTTATTGAGAATCTAAATCTAATGTTATCCTATGTAATAAAAAATAATAATATAATTTTGATTGGAGATTTCAATGTTTGATAATAGCAGAAATAGTCAAACACAGCTAGTGGTAAATTGCCTTTCATCATTTAATTTAATACAAACTATATTTCAACCAACGAGAGTTAATTCGAACTTAGACAATATGTTCACAAATATGCATAAAAATTGTTACGAGACAGTAGTGTTTGATCCAGTTATCTCTGACCATAGCGGTATATGTGTTACATTTTCTTTACAAGAAACTGCAAACTTGATAAAAGGCAAAGTATCATGCAGACCAGTCACAAAGGCTGGCATGTATAATTTATACAACTCAATTGAAAGGGCTGATTGGTCTTTCATTGATGATATATCTTTGAACTGTAATGAGAAATTTAGTAAGTTCCATAATATCTTAGTTATGACGGTTCAGAATTCCTTTCCCATAAAAACATTACCTTATAACAATTTAAACAGACCGAAAATACAATGGTTTAACAATAATCTTAAAAATATGCGAGAGAAGTTACATTTTTTAAAAGAACTTTATAATTTAAACCTAATATCAAAACAAGAATTCAATAGTTACAGAAATAAATACCGTTCTGAGTTGGCTAAAGCAAAAAAAACAGCGCATGATAATTTTATATTAAAAGCTGACAACAAACATAAAGCAGCATGGGATATCATTAAACCCCAGTCAGTACAATTACCACCCACAAATGATTTGACATCCAATGATTTTATAGATTATTTTACTAATGCTCCGGGAAACATTGTAAAAGACTTGCCTCAATCAAATTTTGATCCCTGTAATTATATGTCAGTTGTTAATACTTCTCAGTTTAAGTTCAAGGAAATAACATTTAATGATCTCAGACAAATTATTTCTTTAATAAAAAATAGTAATAGTAAAGACGCCTATGATATAAATGGAAAAATGATAAAAGTTTTAACTAATGTAATCATAATTCCACTAACAAAGCTTATAAATCTATGCTTACGAGAATGTGTATATCCGGATGTTTTAAAACTCGGAAAAATAATTCCTGTTTTCAAAAAAGGTACGGATAATCTAAAAAATTATCGTCCAATATCCATAATTCCAACAATTAGTAAAATATTTGAAATAATTCTCAAAAATCAAATAAATAATTACTTTGAACAAAACATGTTATACTGTCATAATCAGTATGGATTTAGGAAGAACCACTCAACTACAATGGCAGTAAATAAAGTAGCGGAAATTGTGTTCAACGCATTTAGTAAGAAAGAACATGCCTATGCAATATGCCTTGATCTAACTAAAGCATTCGAATGTGTCGCACATGATTTACTGTTAAAAAAACTGGAACTTTATGGATTCGATAGTTCAAGTCTATTATTGTTAAAATCATATTTGACAAATCGGTACCAGTATGTAAATTATAAAAACGTAAACTCAACACGACAATTAATAAGATATGGTGTTCCTCAAGGTTCTGTCTTGGGTCCCATCCTATTCCTAATATTCATCAATGATTTACCAAGCAGTTCTTTCATGACGAACTTTATTTTGTTTGCAGACGACACGACACTAGCGGGTAGTAATCAGGATGTAAAGAAATTAATAAACGAAATTACTCAAGCAGAGAATGAAATCAATACTTGGTTCTTGTCCAATAAATTGTGTAGGAATGAGAGTAAGACTCAAAGACTATATTTTTCTTTACGAGAGCTGGATACTGTTGAGGAAACAATTAATATGCTAGGGATAATATTGGATAAAAAAATGACTTTTGAACAACATATTGTTAAGTTAAGCAAATCAGTATCAAAAAGAATCTACACACTTCGCAGGCTACGACTAGTTGTGTCTGAAAAAACATTAAGAGCAGCTTATTTTGGATATATTCATAACTGTTTATCATATGCAATTTTAGTATGGGGTCATTCTCATCATTTGTTAAAATTATTTGCTATACAAAGAAAATGTATTCGCATTATAGCCGGGTTAAATTATAGAGATGACTGTAGGGTATCATTTAAAAATTTATGTATTATGACACTACCATCAGTTTATATTTATGCTTGTCTTAGATATGTGAAAGCTAATCCAAATCAGTTTAGATCCCTGGACCATGAGCATCAAACAAGATATAAAGAATGGCTACAAACAGATTTTCAAAGATTAACGAGAACAAGAACAGCTCTACGGTATTATTGTATTACACTATTTAATGTACTTCCAGTGTCATTAAAAGAGTTACCTGAGAATGTATTTTGTAAAGTTGTCAAAGAATTATTAATTAATAACGTTTTCTATTCTACATCTGAGTTTATTAAATATAAGTTTACGGACATGTGAAACATTTTTTGTAATGATTATCACGAAATATATTATTATTATTATTATTATTATTATTATTATCAACCGAACGCTGCAACAACCTCCGTTTATCATCTCTACTACGCTTGGTTACAATTCCCCTTATGCGCAACTCATAATCGAGCTCACCTGCTAGTAAATACCTTGCCTTAAAAGTGTCGTCCATATTAATATCACCAATGTGAAATGGTTACAAGACATCCAAAGCCAAGACATACAAATTCAAGATGTAGAACGTCAGGATGACAAAGTCAGAATGACAAAGTCAGGATGACAAAGTCAGGATGGCAAAGTCAGGATGACAAAGTCTGAAATGCAGAGTAATTAGAATTATGTTCGAACGGTATCATCAACAAAATGTCTGTCACCACCTATTTCATTACTTGGGCTGCTAATTGCCACACCACCGCACCATACCTCAACAAACTCCTATGACCTTATAGAATTTCACAAGTAACGAAGTCGAACCAAGTCGTAAATCCACCTACCACTGTCAATAACGCATCTGGCCCCACGTTACGGCGCCATTTTTTGTATAACCTCTTATTTTTTTCACGCCGGTGCTACTTTTGGAGAGCGGGTTCTTCTCGTGGTGTTTGCACTCACCTTGGATTCAACTTCGTTGCTAAACTCTTACTAACCAAAAATAGTAGGGCGCCACTCAGTCGTTATGGTAGAAAGGAGGGTTGGGGGGACTGAGACCACCCAACTTCACCAATGCTCTTTTTATTTATACAAAGTAAATTAAATCAACTAATTACATTATAGAACAAAACTATGACTCGAAATCAAAAAAATGTGGTGGGCAGGAGTTCGGTTGGTTGTAGCGTTTAGCAGTCCATGAACGCGGTTAATTCACCTCCAGGTCGGCGGTTCGACAGACTTACCAGGATGACAGGATGACACCTCTCCTTGGCACTAACTTTTCACCCCTTTTTCGTGAACAACGACACCCCAAAACTTTCGTGTCTTTTTCTCTCGACCTTCTCTCGTCGCCGTCTCAGAAGAAAGAGAAACCTTCCTCCACTCTCGCTCTTCTCGAACCTTCCATCTCCTACCCCCCTACTCTCTAAATGCGCGCGCTATTCAAATCGTCGTAACATTTTCATGTTACAATTTCAAGGCGGGAAGATTGGGTTATCACAATGTATTTGTTCATCCTCCCTAAAAAAATTGGTGACGTCACCCCTAAATTTTGCTGAATAAATCCTATCTAAAATGCAAAAAATATGATGAGTTTGTAGTTGTGATTTATCATTCCATTCATATTTTTTAGATTTGCTTAAAAGGTGGCTCACAAAAATTAATGAAGTCAATTTATTTTATTGATTAAATTAAAGGCAACACTTATTATTATTAGTATTACATTGGACCAACCCAATTTGGTAGACACAAAATTTTTTAAAGTAAAAACTCGGTTGAAACATAAGGGTAGCACGCTTATTTATATTTACTTTAACATTACAAACGTGCATTTGTTTTGTGCGCTGACTAGGTTCCGCGAATGTAGTATAGACATGTTTATAATCAACCAATTGTGAATTCCACCGTCAAAAGTTAAAATAAAACCCAATGTTTTATATAATAAGCGGAAGTCGAAGCAATAAAAATCTCTAGACGACCATCGGTTTTGTTTACAGTTTCTCTGTTTGACTCTCACGTATGCTATGTTACGCTTGTCGTCTTAAATTAAGAATGCTTATACATAAACCATTTTCAGTTGCCTCTCCTAGTACACGCCGGCGCCGTATACGTGAGTAAATTATTTCGTTATTTTATTGATTATTACAAATCAATATTCAAAACGACCCAATTCATTTTCCCGAAAATTTGGGGATACAATAATATTATTCTTAGTATTACACTACATCTATCTCAACTGATATACGTGTCCTTGTAAAAATGTTGATGACGTCATCGCAATTTTTTTTTAAATTCCCACTACAAAAATGTAATGAGAAAAAAAACTACAATAGGCATGCAGTGGTCAAGTTTCCGACAGCGAGGGAAGTACTGTCTAAACCCTTTAGACCATTTTTTTTATTTAATTTAGCATGTATGTTGTTGGTTCTTGCCTGTTACAGTAAATGTAATACCAGTTTCTTGGTTCTGTGTTACTGTGTGCGATGGAAGATCTCAATCTGCTGTAAAAGTTAAGTTCAACGGCATGTTGAATAACTAAATTTCTGTTGATCGTTTGGGAAAACTGAAAGTCTCGTGTGTGTTTTTTCACGTGTATATTGTTCGTGATAAATAAAATTCGCTTGGATAAACTAGTTATATTAATATCAATGATAAAAAAATATATGCAAATAGGAAATACCAGTTGACAAATCTAATAAATCTAAAATAACAGTTTTTGTTTGCTATTCAAGGCTATGTAATCATTACCAAGAAATACAGAAAAAATATATAATCGAAGATTAAAAAGAAACTACATAAAAAATTCTCTTGCTATGGGCAACATACCCCCAAATAACTCATTACTCTGCAAAATGATGTCAGTTGGAAAATATTTCTTATTTAGAGTACGAAGATTATTCTTCTTCAGCCTCGTTGTTATAATTTCTTAGTTTTACTGCAAATGCTCCAACTCCACGTGAAATTAGACCGAGTCCACCTCCCACAGATTTACCAGCTCCAAACAGAACAAGGCTCATTATGGGACCACCTACTACTCCACCAGCAACTGCCCCAAGAACTCCTAAACTGGTTCCAGCCCAGTGTTCAATATTATTAGAAACATAATCGACATGCTTCATTTCAATTTTCTCTTTGCTCCTTTTATATATTTTGAAACATTCCTAGAATTGCAATTTATTAAATTACTATATTGTTTACTTTAACGAAAAAAGTTATATACTTCCATCAAATGTATCTTCAATGTATTTCGTAATTCATCCTCGCAATTCAAGTTATTTCTTTCAAATTCAAGCAAAATTCGCTCCAACTTTTCATCGGCTTCTTTTAAAGTGCTGCATTCGTTAATAAGCATGGAGTATTGCTTTTTTAGATAATCGGTCATCCTAAATTTCTCCAACACGTCCGAAAGGAACTAAAATACTTTTGTTATAGTCGTTTTATATACAAGTGTCAAAATTATCTTCGTTCTTTTCATTTCTTCAAGTGTCCCATATTAAATTATACATACATATAATTATTTGCACTGATAAACACTTACTACATTTAGACGTTTCTTAAAATGATTTCGAAATTTATTCTTGCAGTATGTGCTGTCATTTTCATATATACTACAAATTTCTTTCACCCCCTGCGAAGCCTCCAGTGAAGTTTTGTATTTTTTAATACTTTCACAATATTCCTCTGTTAGCTGATTTACATGGTTGAAAAGTATGAAAAAATCATTATACACATTTTTAAGACCCTAAAAATACTCCTATTATAGCTGCTTTACACACAAATGTCAAAATGATATGTTATAAAGGATTATACCTTCCGGATGATTTTATATTTAACATAAATTCCCTTTATTCAAGTATTCCAGATTAAATTATACAGTGCATCTTTTTTAAAAGTGGCCATAGGGATTTCCATGTTAGATTTTAGATCCCATGTTAACTTTTGTTAGGGTGAAAACCCAGAGATGATTTTTGCAGAGAAAATAACCTTCGGGTTCTACTTTAATTTTCACTACCACTTTTTGCAGTAATTTGCTAATTTGTGCTTTAAAAAATAAAAATTATTTTGATTAAAAAAGTTTGGTACATCACAGACGGTTTTGATTTATCATTTTAACTTGTCATTTTTGACAGCATAATTTTGATTTAATCATTAAATACCTTGATTACAGTTTTTAGAGAAGAAACAAAATGACGGAATTCAAATATAAATGAAGATAATAACAGATAATTTGACTGAAATTGCGTTTTTAATGTCCAAGATCGAAAAAAACCTGTATTTATAAATCTGCCACAAAATTTTTAAATTGTGCTCTTGCCGGGTATGGAACGATGTGGGAATGCTGCAGCAAAATTTTGCGGAATTTCTCTGTTGTCGATAAGGCTTTAATGTATCTATCAGTGACTATTTCTACTTTTTCTTTAATTATGTATTGCGGCATGTTGACGAATTTCGGTTACTAAAAACCAGTAATTGAGCGAGTAATCAAAGTTTAGAAACGTCAGGTAAATGTCTGTTTTTACATGGCTGCCTACAATATTAGCGACAAAAATATCCAAATGTTTTAATTTTTTTAAAGAAATGTCCTTTAATTTAAAACATGACTTTTAATAAAATCGACAAAAGATAACCCAAGTTACATCCAGTAAAAATTTCAGTTCTGAATCTTTACTCAAACATAAGTTAACATGGGGTATAAAATTTAACATGGGAATCCATATGGCCACTTTTAAAAAAGATGCACTGTATAACTATTTTCACAGAAGAAACTTACTGTATCTAGACGCTGCTCAAAATAATCTCGTAATTCCCCATCGCAGTTCAAATTCTTTCTTTCAAATATATATCTTCATTTTCTTGGTTTCTTCTAAAGTTGCGCATTTTTTCAAACATTTGGAGTATTTCTTTATTTGTTGATTTACATGGTTGAAACGTATGAGAAAATCGGTTTGCATCTTATCAATTGACTAAAAATAATTTTTTCCAATTTCTACTAATAAAATACTCATTTTGTATGTTAAATCTCGTATAGTTTAATCGAAAGGATGAATAAAATGTTTATAGCAACACTTTATTCACACTGTCATTGACAACGAATAAAGTAAAAAAACTAAAAATTTGCACTACCACTGAAATTTTCGTCGCTATGGATGTGTGGATATTCAACTAAAATTTGCAACGCTCGATAGTCCACCTCCTGTAAAACAATCCTAATGAAAGTCCAGGAGCATCGTTTGAATTTGATCGTGACGAAAGTACAGGCAGCTTAGGCAATTTACCTTTTTCAAATGTTCATCATATTAGTAATAGTACAATTAATATTTATGTATATGGATTACCTAAACAATACATTTTTTGAAGAATTTTGCGAAATTGGAAAAAATCTTGTATGATACACGTGAATAAACGAATTTTATCCACTCAAAAACATTATCACACTCAGCTTCGCCTCGTGTGCTAAACTGTTTTTTCGTTGGATAAAATTCACTTGTATTCACTTATACCATAAATAGCTATTGTTACTAGTCGCTTTATACACAAGTGTCACAATTATTTGTTTTGAAAGATTATAAATCCTATGTGCTTTAATGCTTGTCATAATTTTCCTTTCATCAAGTGATTCAGATTAAATTATGTTATTTACCCTGAAACAAACTTACTTCTTTTAGGCGCTGCTTAAAATGATCTCTTAATTCCCTGTTGCAGTTCATGTTCTCTTTTTCAAATATCTCCAACCTTGTCTTGATCATTTCCTGAGCTTCTTCTACAGATTTGCATTCTTTAACAACGGTGGAATAATCGTCTTTTAGTTGATTTCCATGGTTGAAAAGTACGCAAAAGTCATCATACTTCTTATCAAGTGTCTAAAAATACTTTTACTACAGTCGCTTTATACACAAGTGCCACAGTTAATATTTGTTGTGAAAGACTATACATTTCGTATGCTCTTATGTTTAACATGAATTTCCTGTATTTTAGTTAAATTAAACAATTATTTATCCCGAAAATACATAACTTACTGCATTTAGGCGCTGCTTAAAATGATCTCGTAATTCCATGTTGCAGTTCACGTTCTCTTTTTCAAATATCTCCAACCTTGTCTTGATCATTTCCTGAGCTTCTTCTATAGTTTTGCATTCTTTAACAACGGTGGAATAATCCTTTTTTAGTTGATTTCCGTGGTTGAAAAGTACGCAAAAGTCATCATACTTCTTATCAAGTGTCTAAAAATACTTTTATTACAGTCGCTTTATACACAAGTGCCACAGTTAATATTTATTGTGAAAGACTATACATTTCGTATGCTCTTATGTTTAACATAAATTTCCCGTATTTCAGTTAAATTAAACAATTATTTACCCTGAAAATATATAACTTACTGCATTTAGGCGCTGCTTAAAATGATCTCGTAATTCCCTGTTGCAGTTCACGTTCTCTTTTTCAAATATCTCCAACCTTGTCTTGATCATTTCCTGAGCTTCTTCTATAGTTTTGCATTCTTTAACAACGGTGGAATAATCCTTTTTTAGTTGATTTTCGTGGTTGAAAAGTACGCAAAAGTCATCATACATCTTATCAAGTGTCTAAAAATACTTTTATTACAGTCGCTTTATACACAAGTGCCACAGTGAATATTTGTTGTGAAAGACTATACATTTCGTATGATGCTGTTATGTTTAACATAAATTTCCCGTATTTTAGTTAAATTAAACAATTATTTACCCTGGAAATATATAACTTACTTCTTTTAGGCGCTGCTTAGAATGATCTCGTAATTCCCTGTTGCAGTTCACGTTCTCTTTTTCAAATATCTCCAACCTTGTCTTGATCATTTCCTGAGCTTCTTCTACAGATTTGCATTCTTTAACAACGGTGGAATAATCGTCTTTTAGTTGATTTCCATGGTTGAAAAGTACGCAAAAGTCATCATACTTCTTATCAAGTGTCTAAAAATACTTTTACTACAGTCGCTTTATACACAAGTGCCACAGTTAATATTTGTTGTGAAAGACTATACATTTCGTATGCTCTTATGTTTAACATGAATTTCCTGTATTTTAGTTAAATTAAACAATTATTTATCCCGAAAATACATAACTTACTGCATTTAGGTGCTGCTTAAAATGATCTCCTAATTCCCTGTTGCAGTGCACGTTCTCTTTTTCAAATATCTCCAACCTTGTCTTGATCATTTCCTGAGCTTCTTCTACAGATTTGCATTCTTTAACAACGGTGGAATAATCGTCTTTTAGTTGTTTTCCATGGTTGAAAAGTACGCAAAAGTCATCATACATCTTATCAAGTGTCTAAAAATACTTTTATTACAGTCGCTTTATACACAAGTGCCACAGTTAATATTTGTTGCGAAAGACTATACATTTCGTATGCTTTTATGTTTAACATAAATTTCCCGTATTTCAGTTAAATTAAACAATTATTTACCCTGAAAATATATAACTTACTGCATTTAGGCGCTGCTTAAAATGATCTCGTAATTCCCTGTTGCAGTTCACGTTCTCTTTTTCAAATATCTCCAACTTTGTCTTGATCATTTCCTGAGCTTCTGCTACGGTTTTGCATTCTTTAATAACGATGGAATAATCCTTTTTTAGTTGATTTCCGTGGTTGAAAAGTACGCAAAAGTCATCATACATCTTATCAAGTGTCTAAAAATACTTTTATTACAGTCGCTTTATACACAAGTGCCACAGTTACTATTTGTTGTGAAAGACTATACATTTCGTATGATGCTCTTATGTTTAATATAAATTTCCCGTATTTTAGTTAAACTAAACAATTATTTAACCTGGAAATATATAACTTACTTCTTTTAGGCGCTGCCTAAAATGATCTCGTAATTCCCTGTTGCAGTTCACGTTCTCTTTTTCAAATATCTCCAACCTTGTCTTGATCATTTCCTGAGCTTCTTCTACAGATTTGCATTCTTTAACAACGGTGGAATAATCGTCTTTTAGTTGATTTCCATGGTTGAAAAGTACGCAAAAGTCATTATACATCTTATCAAGTGTCTAAAAATACTTTTATTACAGTCGCTTTATACACAAGTGCCACAGTTAATATTTGTTGTGAAAGACTATACATTTCGTATGCTCTTATGTTTAACATAAATTTCCCGTATTTTAGTTAAATTAAACAATTATTTATCCCGAAAATACATAACTTACTGCATTTAGGCGCTGCTTAAAATGATCTCCTAATTCCCTGTTGCAGTTCACGTTCTCTTTTTCAAATATCTCCAACCTTGTCTTGATCATTTCCTGAGCTTCTTCTACAGATTTGCATTCTTTAACAACGGTGGAATAATCGTCTTTTAGTTGATTTCCATGGTTGAAAAGTACGCAAAAGCCATCATACTTCTTATCAAGTGTCTAAAAATACTTTTACTACAGTCGCTTTATACACAAGTGCCACAGTTAATATTTGTTGTGAAAGACTATACATTTCGTATGCTCTTATGTTTAAGATGAATTTCCTGTATTTTAGTTAAATTAAACAATTATTTATCCCGAAAATACATAACTTACTGCATTTAGGCGCTGCTTAAAATGATCTCCTAATTCCCTGTTGCAGTTCACGTTCTCTTTTTCAAATATCTCCAACCTTGTCTTGATCATTTCCTGAGCTTCTTCTACAGATTTGCATTCTTTAACAACGGTGGAATAATCGTCTTTTAGTTGATTTCCATGGTTGAAAAGTACGCAAAAGTCATCATACATCTTATCAAGTGTCTAAAAATACTTTTATTACAATCGCTTTATATACAAGTATCACAGTTAATATTTGTTGTGAAAGACTATACATTTCGTATGCTCTTATGTTTAACATAAATTTCCCGTATTTTAGTTAAATTAAACAATTATTTATCCCTAAAATACATAACTTACTGCATTTAGGCGCTGCTTAAAATGATCTCGTAATTCCCTGTTGCAGTTCACGTTCTCTTTTTCAAATATCTCCAACCTTGTCTTGATCATTTCCTGAGCTTCTTCTACAGATTTGCATTCTTTAACAACGGTGGAATAATCGTCTTTTAGTTGATTTCCATGGTTGAAAAGTACGCAAAAGTCATCATACATCTTATCAAGTGTCTAAAAATACTTTTATTACAGTCGCTTTATACACAAGTGCCACAGTTAATATTTGTTGTGAAAGACTATACATTTCGTGTGCTCTTATGTTTAACATAAATTTCTCGTATTTCAGTTAAATTGAACAATTATTTACCCTGAAAATATATAACTTACTGCATTTAGGCGCTGCTTAAAAAGATCTCGTAATTCCCTGTTGCAGTTCAAGTTCTCTTTTTCAAATATCTCCAACCTTGTCTTGATCATTTCCTGAGCTTCTTCTGCAGTTTTGCATTCTTTAACAACGGTGAAATAATCCTTTTTTAGTTGATTTTCGTGGTTGAAAAGTACGCGAAAGTCATCATACATCTTATCAAGTGTCTAAAAATACATTTATTGACTGTCATTGGAAATATATATTAATTAAATCCCATTTAAAATCTAGTTGCCTGCAATTTATAGGTTGGAAAAAGGAGACTTTCCGACCACTTAAAAAGCAAATCCGAGAAAAATTATTCATTTTCCAACTTTTTAAAAGTTGGCCGCATTTTGTCGACCGCTTGTGAATGAACATATTTACCTCTGCAAGCTGTTTTTTAAAACTTTCTAGCAATTCTTTTGAGCCCAACTTCATCTCCCTTTCATTTTCAAATTCTTTCAAAATCTCACTTTTCTCATCGTTGGCTTGTGTTTGATCTGTACAACTCCCTAAACGCTTCTTATATTCTTCTACCTTTCCATTCACAAGATCTTGAAGAGAAATCTTAATAGCTGTCTAAAAATACAAAATGACTATTGAAAAAGCATGGACTTCAAACGCGTACCATGTAAACTGATTCAATGCATAACTCATCTTTCTCATTAATACAGCTCCAGTAACCACGAATAAATTCAAATAACTCTTCGACCGTAACAAATTTATTATTAATCTTTTTCGGTACTAGATTCTCGGGCGTTAAAATATTTTCAACAAAGGTTTTCACATGATCGCGAAATATTTTCTTAATTTCTAAAAAGTGGATTCAGAAAAAATTTCTCCGACGAACAAAAACCATAATTACTATTAAAATCGCCTTTAAATTCCTTTGTCTCAACTTTACTCCCAGGCCTTGGCATAAGAAAGCACTGAACATTTGCAAAATTATCTCTAATAGTTTTTTGTATTTCACGTGAGTTGGATTTTTCGTGTTCCTTGAAAGTGGAAATTAATAAGTTCTCGCCCCCTTCAAAACCGAAACCGTAGGCTTCATGATTTACCCAGTCTCGAATCAAAATGACCAAATCTTGGAAAGGTTTCTTCTCGCTGTCGCTAAACATCGCCCCATATCCTGTAAATAACTAAAAAGAAAGAAAAGAAATGTGCGCAAGTAAAAATAAAAACTTTACTTGTAGAACTCCAAGCTGCTCGAAATCAAGTCTGTTCTGGATGTTGTAAATATGAACTGAGCTAATTAATGCACTGAGGGCAAAAATCTTAGTGCCCTCATCATAAGAAGTTTGGTGATCAGATGTTCCTTGAGTGTCCATCAAAATTATAGCAATCTAAAACATAGAACCACATGTTCTTTTTTGATAATCATAATGAAGGATTCTACTTTTTCGCCTTCTTTTGTTTCCGTTAAAAAAATTTCCGGACATATAAGTATACCATCTGTAACTCTCTGCCAACTTTTTCGCCAATAAAATTCCCTAGTTAGGGTGTCGTTAACATCCATCCATTCTTGTTCCACACTTTGACACTGAGAAATATACAAATTTAAGAAAATCACTACATTTAAAAAAAGACACAGTTTAATTTTTTTAATAGATAAAACAATACAATATTAAGGCAGCAGACACTTTTGAGGTAAAGATCGGGTGGTTGCAAAATTAGTTAATTAATTGCCAACTCTGGTTCAGTTTTTAATCGTACCACATTAATTTCATCGCACCATAGAAAATTGGCCTAACTTTATTTATAGAGAAATTCCCTCGCTTCTGAAGTACAATCTAACAAACACAGCTTCTTCGAACTTAAGTTCATTAATTTATATTTTTTAAGTCACCCTACTTCAGCAATAAAGAAAAACTTGGCCCATGAGAAGATCGAATCCGAACACAAGTATGCGAGTATAATGTTGTATAAAAAGTAAATAGCATTTAGCACGCAAAATTTTGAAATGTTTCCGTCATATCGTTGGTGACGATGATTAGACAAAGTTCGATTACCGTTTTACCATCTACACGATATTCCTAAAATACGACCCTATTACAATACTTCTTTAATGTGAAGTTTGTATCCCTGTCTCATTTTTGTCACCATGTCTGCCATGTCTGTCAATAATCAACAATCTACTAGCTTTGTAGATAATGTGAACGAAGTTGTAGAACGACAAAATAGAAAATGTAATTTAATGACGTTCGGTGTAGTTGAACCTCCTCCAACTTCTCTTACCAATATTCAAGCAACTGATGAAGATGCCAATGTTACAAAAGATATCCTAAAGCAAATTTTTCCCAATTAGACGCCGAAAATTTGGTAATTCATCGCCTTGGCCGATGAGTCAGACCAATCAAAATCTCATTACGAGATGATGTGGACTTCCCACAGTTTCATCAAAAACGCAAAAAACTTAAAAAATTATGCACAGTATACTAACGTCTCACTATCTTATGATAAAACGCCACGACAAATGGAATTCTTTAAAAACGTCAAAAAGGAATTTAACACAACGGTATTCCGAAAATTATTAATAATAATTTAAACCATTAGCCGAACCTAATTGCAATAATATCGCTCTAAGATTACAAATTTTTATAACTCGGTATGTGAAAACGATTTTGAGTTTATAGCAATAAGTGAATCTTGGTTAAACTGTGATATAACAAGTAGTGAATTATTCCCTGATAATTATAGTGTCTTCCGTAAGGATCGTACGACTGGAGTAGCAATAAGAGGTGGTGGAGTTCTACTTGCAGTGAAAAATTCCTTTAGCTGCATAGATTTAGATCTATCTTCCATTGGCAACGTGGTTCCAAATATTGATATAATCGGTGTTAACGTTACTGACGAAAGTAATTACCGTAAACTTCTTATATTTGTTTTATACATTCCCCCAAAAACTTCAATTACAGAATATGAATTGTTTTTCGAGGCTTTTAACTCACTTGAAATGTTCACCTATAACCACAACATAACCACAATCGTAGGAGATTTCAATATCCCTACTTACACATCAAATACTAAAGAAAAGACATGTGTAATGTTAAACCTCTTCAAAGAATTTCATGGATTACGTCAATATAATAATGTTTTGAACAAAAATAACCTCATTTTAGATCTTTCGTTTTCTAATTTTAGTGTCCTAGTAGATAAATCAAGCAATCCTCTAGTTACCGAGGATTTGCACCATCCAGCTCTCTCCATTAGCTTTAATGTCTTGTCTTTCCAAGTGCCACGTCGTTTCCAAATAAATAATCTTACGAATAACTATAATTTCAAAAAAGCAAATTACTCTCTGTTATATGATCTCTTGGTTAAAACTGACTGGTCATTTCTAGATTTTATCGACGACGTAGAAGAGGCATGCTCATAAATGTATAAAAAGCTTTACGAATTATTCGATATGGCAATACCTAAATTCTGCTCCTCACGTAGCCACCGTCAATATCATCCTCCACGGTTTTCTAGTGATATTCTAAACTGTCTTCGTGAAAAATCAAGGGCTTTAAAGAAGTACCTACAAAAAAAACTCATAATTCACACCATTATGATGTATTGTGTTATTATCGTTCTGTCTCGAAAACTCTTATTTATAAATCGCTTATTATTACATTTTCCGTATTTTAAGTAAAATACCAAGTAAAAATGACTCAAACACGCCAAAATAGTGGTGATCGTTATGTTAATGTGAAAGACTTATCCAATACTATTCGAGAAATTGTGAAAGCAGAAACCGCAGTTCTTTTAAAGAAGATTGAAAAACTTGAAGCGACAATTACATCCTTATGTGAAATAAATAGCGAGATAAAAGCCTCAGTGATCAGAAAAAGTGACAAATTGCCGCATGTGGAATGTGATTTACAAGAATTAGATACATCCAGTGAATCGGTCTTCTCCACGGATACAATTATTGATACGAAAAAAACATGTGATAAGCAAAACGAACGCCGGGAAAAGAAACCAATAAAGAAAAGTTCGGCTAATCAGAATCATAATCCAAAAGTTAACGACGATCTGAACCCCAGAGCCGAAATCAGGGGATCGGTGGAATCAAACTCGACGTTTCAAGCTAGAAAAAAGAAAATCTGGTTGTACGTTGGCAGATGTAACGAGAAGACAACTGAAGCCGACGTAAAAACTTATGTGGGTCAAAAATGGCAAAATCATGACTTTGAAGTAATAGAACTTAACAGTAAAGGTACCAGCAAAAGTTTTAGAATAAGTGTTGACCATGACGAAGAATTGATGACCTTATTATATGAGCCAACCTCCTGGCCGAAAAATATTTTAGTAAAACGCTTTAGGTTTTTTCGACAGAACAACTCAAGTAGATTCTCCACTGCGACATTACAAACTACATCAGGACTACTCTGACAAAAATTGCCTTTTGTCGGTGAGAGAAAACTTTATTGATCACAAATCGTGTTTTCCATATCGGAAGGACATTCAACAAAATTTTGAAAATCAATTAACGATTGCCAAAACCGCAAAACTTTTCTTTATAAACTGTCAAAGCATCAGAAATAAAATGTGTATGTTTGAAATCTTTCTTGAAGAACATGATATCCAATACTTCTGTGTTAGCGAACACTGGCTTTCCCAAGATGAAGCAGCGCTCTACAGCTTTCCAAATTTCGATGTGGCCAACATTTATTGCAGACAGATCTCAACTCATGGGGGAGTAGCTATTTACACGAGGAAAGGAATTATGTCAAACGAAGTTTGTCTTCAGCACCTATGTGAAGAAATGTCATTTGAGGTTACCGCTATTCAGGTAGTGGAAGAAAACTGTATTATCATTGTTATTTACCGTTCACCTTCTAGTGAGATAAAAATATTTTTTACAAAACTTTATGAGGCGCTAAATTATGTTTCAAAAAACTATAAATGCCAAATTATATTAACCGGCGATTTCAATATTAATCTATTAGAGAACTCTGTCAATACTACTAAATTTAAAGATATTATTGTTTCTTTTAATTTGCATACAGTTATAAATGAACCAACAAAATATAACATTAAAAGTAATACCGGTCATGACAACATATGTACGGATCTCTATAGCAAACATCATGGTAAGGTGATAACAGATAAGTTTGGGGATCATTTAGGCATTATGTTGTATTTTTTATCACATAAAAATAAAGACATACCATCTATTAGAACAAAAACCTGTAGAAATATAAATAACACTAACTGTGAAAAACTTGTCAATGTATTGAGGCAGCAAAACTTTGCATATGTTAATGATAACAATCTATCAGTAGAGGAGGTGTTTAACTACTTCCATCAAAGATTTGTAGATATATTTAATGAAAACTTAGTTACAACAAATGTGAATCGACGACATAAAATAAAATGGTTCAATAACGAACTTCATCAAATGAGAAAACAAATTGAAATCTTAGGTATTGTGCGTCAATATGAAAAATCTTTAGATAATGTTTACAAATCACTAAGATCTAAATATAAATACAAACTAATAGAAGCGAAAAAAAAAGCTAACAACGATTTCATCCTGGCTTCTTCAAACAAAAGCAAAGCGGTATGGAAACTTATTAAATCAGAACTAAATGTAAAGTGTAACAGCACCCGTCAAAGTCTACATACAGCTGAAGAGTTAAATACACATTTTGTCAAGGTTGCCAACCAACTAATCTCAAATATTCCACCGGCAAAAACAAGCAGTTCCACTTTTGTTAACAACTTAAACAAATCACCAGTAAATTCCATTTGCTTCTGGCAAACTGATGAAAACGAAATCTTAAAAAGCATCAATGAATTAAAATCTTCTACTAGCAATGATTTGTATGGCCTAAATTCGACTGTTATTAAATTTGTAGCTCCCACCATTGCTAAACCCTTGTCAGTACTAATAAACAGATGTATTGACGAAGGCATATTTCCAAGTTGCTTGAAAGTTGCAAAAACCATAGCATTACATAAGAAAGGGGATATAAATAACATTAACAATTACAGACCCATATCTATTTTGCCAATTATTTCTAAAATATTTGAAAAAATCTTAAAAAAGAGACTAGTCCAATTTTTCGAAAATAATCATGTGTTTGTTAGTGAGCAATTTGGATTTAGAAAAAACAAATCAACTATTTTAGCTATCCTAAATCTAGTAGAAACTATAATGTCTAACATCGAAAACAACAAAGCCACTTGCGCGACGATGCTTGATCTATCAAAGGCTTTCGATTGTGTAAACCACCACATCCTATTAAATAAACTATATTATTATGGAGTAAGAGGCAAATGCCACGAACTTCTTGCGTCATATTTAAAAGATAGAACACAAGTAGTATCTGAAAAAAGCATATTATCGCTACCCAAAACATTGAAGATTGGAGTTCCCCAGGGTTCAGTATTGGGACCAATATTATTTTTAATTTATATCAATGATATTGCTGCAAATATAGATACACAAAAATGTATATTATTTGCGGATGACACGAGTCTCGTCAATTCGTCAGATAACATTCAGGATCTTAAAAAAATGGAAAGTCACAGTAAGCAAAAAACAAAGGA